CAGGGCCAAAATAGTGTAAAAATGAAGTGTCAATGGTTAGTCCCCAGATATTAGATCAAAATAACATGAAGCTTACTGTTTACCACTGATTTTGAACTCATCCACTCAAATTCTGGCCTAACAATCACATACCCATTCTAGGGTTTGGAGGTCTTTTCCAGCTCATCTTTTAGAACAGCTGACCCCAGGAAGGTAGTTGAAAGAAAGAAAAGGCTCCTTTCTTTCACGAAGGATATGTATTGAGCCCATGAGCTAAGCCTGAGTGGAAAAAGAATTTTCCTTTCATACATTGGGTAGAAAAAGAAATGACAATATTGATTTTTGTGATTGGAAATGAAACTCAGAAACCTTTTGCCAGTCCCCTTCTCGCTTTCAAAGGCTACTTCATTGTCAGCTGAGAAGACTCAGTCATGGTAGCAATTGGACACACCACTCCATATACATTACAAAGATTTGTCCCCCCTTTGTACTCAATATTTACACCTAGATTTCTTATATGAGAAAAAGAAAAAAAATCTTCTTTGATCCATGGGCAATGTTTATATAAAATAAATTAAAGTGCAGAAGAATAAACAGTGGGTCACAAAGACCAGCATCCTACGGTGGTCAAGGCATATAAATAGCGTACTTGGTAAGGCAATTCAGAACCGCCACCTTCTTACCTAATAGGAGCACACATACTAACCTAGTCTCTACAAGTGGACATTGGAACTCCCACTTCCACCTCCACCTTCCATGCCTTCTGTGGACTGGGAGGAAGGTGGGCGGGAGCTTCTGGGGTGAGGCTGGCCATTTAGTCCAACTGGCGTGCCCAAGCCATGACTTATTTGGGATGCTGCATCATCTGATTCCCAGCGTTCCAACTCTTCCCGCACTAGCCGTTCCATCTGTTCCCTGTGGATTTCACTGTCACGGCCCAGTCTTTCATCCTAACAAAGGAGAGAGAATCCAGGGTGTAAGGAATGGCATGGAGCACAGCCTTGCTTTCAAACATGCCATGGGAAACTCGTGGGCTAAGTATTTGGAAGAAGGTAAGGCTGGAGATTGACAGCCTTATCATAGCTGTCCATATAATAATATAAACTATACAGCAAGGAGAGGAACTGTGAGGGTAGAGTGGCTACACATTGGGTTGCTATCTGCAAGGTCAGAAGTTCAAAACCACCAGCTGCTCCAAGGGAGGAAA